TACCAGACTGTCAAAACAAAGCAGACATCATGTGACTACATATCAGATAGCCAGCTGGATATGGCGTCTACTAAGCCAGAGATGGCGTAAGTTGGCAGGCAAATGCCAATCGAACCTTCTATATCCGTGCTGAGATTTCGTGATGGGTCAACCCTCTTGGCTGGTTGCTGGAACTTCCCAAAAAATGTGAAGTCGTCAATACACCCTACCATTTGATTCTCTTTGTTTAAGCTAGGAGTTGATATAGTCCAGTCCTTTAGGAAGTATCATCTTGCATTTGACAGGAGGTTGCGAATCGCATTCCATACATTCGAAGATTGCGGCTCCTCTAGGTGTTCAGGAGACTCTGCATTCTGTCAGCGTCTTCATTCAGGAAGGGGGACCATATCATCTGCATATTCTAAGTCAACAAGATCATTCCCTAAGGGTAACAAGTCAATCCCTGAGTCTGCCTGGTTTTCTCGCTTCTCTTTTTCTTGAGCAGAACTTAGCGAGGTAAAGACTGTCTCGTTGCAATTCTCTTGTGTTAAGAACCAATGGCTTGAGACTGTCGGTGATGTGGCTTGAAATCGTTCTTAATGTCACAAATATATTCGCCCTTTGTAATCTCTCAGATCCACTAAATTCACGTATTTTTCCCAGGTTACTATTCTTTCTCTCGTACATTTCTAGTCGTTAATCTTTTACTGTGTGTGGTAGCTTAAACTACTCGAATTCTGTGCAAAGTTCTACATTGAAATTCAGTTAGTTAGTGCGTTCAAGATTAGTTTAAGTGGAAATTCATTGTGTTAGGGTTACTTAAAAACTACTTGCACATCCATACAGTTAGAAATTAGGTACATCCTGGGTATTGAGAGCTAATGATACTACCTGGTTTCCCAAACCTCTATGGATAGAGTGGGGTTCGAACCTATGACCACATGATTGGAAAACCAGTGACCTTATAGTCGGAATTCAGTAATTTTATGTGTACAAGCTTATGACTTGAAAAGATAAATTTCTGACGCCTAGTTAAACATTATGCGTTATCAGGATTTCTGTTTTTATAATAAATAAATGACTGAGTGTACTGAACAGTAACGCCAACGTAGTTATTCTGTATTGAATTAGTTATGCTCTCTGAAGAAAGCTGGTTGGTTTAATTACGAAGCTTTCTTCGTCCCTCCTCTTCAGTGATCTCATCTAAATTCTCCATGAATGATGTAATTGTATCTCCTGACAACCATTGCCGTGACTGTTTGTTAATTTACGTCTCTATTAATCATATTTTTATTGACTTGGAATTCGAACTTTCTTGTCATATGATTTACTTCTTACTGACTGATAAATTCGGTCTATAATAATGTGTTTGTTAACTGCTAATACACTTGAGTACCAGGCTTCTAGAAATTCCCTGGTAGTAGTTTTGATGTTTCCTCTATTTAAAATTTCTACATTCTCCCAATCATCAAATTGGTGTCCATAATTATCCACAAGCATTGATATGAAAAAATATATATGTCAAGTCTTTCTACGGCCAGTATGTGTTCTTGGATTCGGATTCGAAAGGGACGCCTATTTTGACCGATGTAATGTATATCGCAAGTCATACATGCAATTTATTTTGTAAATGGCATTAATTTTATCTCCTTTTACTGTTGGATCTTTTGGTTTGGACAATATCGAATGAAGCGATTATGATCACGTGTGTGCTATATCTATTTCAAACGGTCTTAATATTCCAGCTGTTATTTCAGAGATATTTTTTATATATGATAGGGAGAATTTCCTTGCGGTCTTTGTTGTTAGCTTGTTGTTGGTGTTATGACTTGAGTTTAAACACTTTTTGATGAAATTGTGAGGATATCCATTCCTTTTCGGAGATGGTTTGTAGGTAATAGAGAAGATTTGTAGCTCAGGTGGATGATTTGCAATTAAAAGTGTTCTCTGAGCTGGTTGGTTTAGTTGCGAAGCTTTCATCGTCCTTCTGGACATCTTCACAAACGAAACTGTGTGCAGACATTGTTTAAAAGAGTTCAGACACATTGTAGCACTCCAGAGTTGAAAAGAATGGAAGAAAAGTACCTACAAACGGTCTTCAAAAAGAATGGTTATCCACAAAATTTCATCAAAAAGTGTTTAAAGTGGAATCAAAACACCAACAAGAAACCATCATCAAAGACCACAAGAAATCTCATTCTACCATACATGAGGAATATCTCTGAAATAAAAGCCAGAATACTGAAACCGTTAGATATAGATATAGCACACAAACCAGTAAAATCCCTTAATTCGATATTATGCAAACCAAAAGATCCAACAGAAAAAGGGGATAAAATTAATACCATTTACAAAATAAATTGTATGAACTGCAACAAGCATTACATCGGTCAAAGTGGGCGTCCCCTTCGAATTAGAATTCAAGAATACAAATCAGCCGTGAAAAGACACGATATGTATTCTTTAGTATCAATGCATACAGACAATTATGGATATCAATTTGATTGGGATCAAGTCTAAATCCTTAACAGAGGAAACACGAAAAGTGCCAGAGAATTCCTAGAAGCCTGGTACTCAAGCGAAAATGCGATTAACAAACACGTTAATATGGATGAAATATACCAATTAATAAAAAGTAAATCAGGTGACTAAAATGTTTAAAATCCAAGTCAATAGAAAGTGGTCAGTACACACATATGTAAAGATAGTAACCAGGAGACGCAATTACATCACGCATGAAGAAATTTAAATCATTTCACTTCGTGCTAAATATGGCGCTGAAGATGTTGTCCAGAAGGACGATGGAAGCTTCGCAACTAAACCAACCAGCTCAGAGAACACATTTAATTGCAAAACGTTTAGTAGGTATTTTTCCTCCTTTCGCTTCAGCACTGGAGTGTTACACTGTGTTTGAACTCTTTCAAACAATGTCTGCATACAATTTCTTGTGTATGTAGTTTGGTTATTGCTAACATAGTGGAGTATTTGGTCTGTGTGTTTCCAAAGTTCCTGTGTTAATTCTCCTGATTAAGACATCTAAGAATTGAATTTTATTGTCGTCTAATTCTTCTTCTCTTGTGAATTTGATGCCTTCAATATGTTGTTTATTAATTTATGAGTATATTCTGAATCATTTCTCTTAATTATTACAAATGTATCATCAACACAACGTACCCAGATTTTTGCTTTAATTATGGGTGTAGGGCTATTAATTCTAATCTTTGCACTAGGGCTTCAGCTCCGTCCTCTTTTATGGCTGTGAGACCTGGCCACTGATAGTGGGGGACATGAAAAGACTATCTATCTTTGAACATAGGTGCCTACGTTCTATCTCCCGTGTGAAGTGATATAATAGGGTGAGCAATATTGAGGTTAGCCGTCAGTCGAGTGCTAAGTAAGGAAGGGAAAACAATCGACGAGGCTGTGAATTTACACCAATTGAGATGGTTGGGACATGTGTTGCCGCGCGTCCCTAGCCATCGCCTCCTTCGACAATAGGCGATGTTAACTGACATAGGGTCAGGCTGGAAAAGAGCCAGTGGTGATCAGACCAGAACATGGCTTCATCAGTCAATAAAATCCACAACAGTTAGTTTAAGCCAGCCAACCAGTCATGTATGGAGGTGTAGACTTCCTGGTTTTGGTCCTCGGGATGGTAAATACCAACGATGGTTAAAGACGATTGGTGATATGGCTCAAAATCCTCGTTGTCAATGGATGGTGCAGATGCAACCAATCCTTGCGACTTATAATTTCCAATAAAACTATATTGTTCTTCGGTATTACTATTCTTTTTGCCTTATATCTCTGCTTACTGTCTCTCTTTTGTTGAATCTCTTTTTACTCTCTTCTCTTTCTTTGTGTGCTACATGTGGGAGTGTGGCGAATTGAATTGCTGCACATCGGTGCAGCAGTTCTACGTTGAAACCAGTCAGTCACACAGTCAATTAATCCTGATATGAGCGATCCCATTGGTGTTCATTCTATCTGTTCGTATATTTGATCATTTGTAATTGGAAGTTGTAAAACCTAATTTTATGACTTCCATCCAGTCATTCCTAGTGGAATAAATGAAGCACTTCAAGACTGAGCTTTTTATACTGGGTGGGATCACTAGCTTCACGCTCAACCTTCCCTCTTCACTCGGATTACACTACCAACTAGGCGGTTGAGGAGTCCGTTGGTAGGGGTTCGAACCCGTGATAGCTTTCAGTGTCGTTGACGAGTATTCTACCACCGAACCAAGTTGATGCCTTCTTCAGTAAATCGTAAAGAATGATGATGGTGGCACATTGAAGAAGAAACTCTTTGAAAACAGTGAAATACAATGACTCGATTAAATTTTTTCGGTATTGGAACGACGTTTTGCAAGGGATGACAAAAACGATTTGCTAAAGTGGTTATTGAACGCAGACTAATTCGTGTACATCATTAATAAGTCTTACAGGGTGATCAGTTGTAGCTTATTTAGACTAATAATACTGCCTTCCATGAAGTGGCTGCTGATCTGCTCTAGTCTAAATCATAGTGAGAATTTACTGTAGGTCGCATATATACATATTACGTATAAATGCAAACAAGTACAAAGCTTATGTCATTAGTTTCCTGCTAATGGACGTCTTAAGGTATAAGACATATTGTTACTACTATTGTGGTGAGAGCGGTCTGGAAGCCAAAATTGTAGACAGCAATTGACGTCAGCGTTACGTCCCGAACTGAGGTCATGAGAAAGACAATAACAAAGCTTGACCTTGAGGAATTCACCAACCAATCACAGCAGACTTAACGTGTACAAATACGATTCGCAGATGTATGGCTTATTTTTCTAAGAAATGGTTACAAGTAGGAAGAAAACAACCAGTCAGAAGACGTTGCTTCTCCACTGTCAATAATGTACATAAAAATCTATAAATACCTCTCTTGATTTTCTCAATAAACGATCTGTTGCCTGACCCTTGTCTTCTGTCGTTACACTATTACTACATAGTTATGCGGTTTCGTTTTTTCTTCTTTTTTTCCAGTGCCAAAGATGAAGAAGCTAATACGCTATATCATATGGGTCAATGGGCAAACTATGCTATCCTTCTACTTCAAGGACGTGCTACAGTTGAAATTGGTGCTGAAGGACTTGTATTTGAAGCTGGACCATTTGTTATGTTTGGTGAAACTGTTTTAAGGCGTAAGTTAATTTAGAGGAAAAAAAGTGTATGTATGTGTATAAAAGATCACGAGTAGTCAGTGGTTCCGTGGTAGAATGCTCGCCACCTGGTCGGGAGTGGGGTTCGATTCCCACCAGACGTAGTCGTAAACTTTGTCCAGTTTACTAGTCAACTATACACCTGGTAAAGTGGGAAGCTTGGGTGTGAGGCCAGCAACCTCACCCGGCAAACCTGAAGATCTGTCACTCCACTCAAAACGTAAAGGAATGAAGGAAGTATATAGAGGAGCAATGAACAGACAACTGTAATAATATTTATGACTTGCGTTGATAAAAAATGTGCTGTATTTCCGATTTCATGCATTAAAGACTCCGTTAACCACCTTAGAAGATAGTCAGTGTGTATATGTCATTGATTTGATATGTGGTAATAGTTTCTAAGTCGGTGGCATAGTGGTTAGGACGCTCGCCGACCATGCACATGGTCCGGGGTTCTATCCCCGGCCGACGCACTCCTTTACCTCGCTAAGTCAGAAATAATGCTGGTGAAGAGGAAAGGTTGGGTATGAGGCTAGCAACCTCATCCTGTAAAATAAACACTGCTACAGAAACTTCAAGCCACTAGCTTGAAGCCCTATATTCCACTGGGGAACGTGAAGGAAAAAAAATAGTTTCTAAAGCTTTGTAATATTTAATTATAGAGGCTTATGATCAATTTTTCGACCTACTTTTATGTTTAATTATTTGGTAATGGCTGTATCAATATATATGGTCAACTAAAGCGAAGAGTCTTCAGCATTAGAGATACTCCTCCTTGATCGATTTGACTGTACTTGGTTAATCAGTTATCAAATACGGAATATACACATTGGATCATAAGGGCATGTGTACTGCTCATCAGTCCGCTCCGTCCTCCTTTATGGCTGTGAGACCTGGCCATTGAGAGCGGAAGACATGAAAAGATTAGCTGTCTTTGATCATTGGTGTCTGCGTTCTATCTCCCACGTGAAGTGGTATAATAAGGTGAGCAATATTGAGGTTAGGCATCGGTCGAGTGCTAGGTAAGGCGGGGAAATCAATCGACGAGACTGTGAAATTACATCGACTGAGATGGTTAGGACATGTGTTACGTATGCCTAGTCTTCGCCTTCCTCGACAACAGGCACTGTTAGCTGATATAGGGTCAGGCTGGAAAAGAGCTAGCGGTGGTCAAACCAAATATGGCACCAGTCAATGAAATCTACAACAGTTAGTCTAAGCCACGTAGGAAGGTGTAGACTTCCTGGTTGGGGTCCTCGGGACGGTAAAACCAATGAAAGCTGGAGACAATTGGTGACATGGCTCAAAGTGATCGTTCTCAATGGTTGGCGCAGATGCATCCACTCCTTGTGACTTATAATTCCCAATGAAACTATATTGTTCTTTGTTATTACTATTCTTTTGTCTCACACCTCTGTTTACTGTCTATATTATGCATTTCTTCTACTTTCTTCTCTTGCTTTGTGTGCTACATGGAGTGTGGCGACTTGAACTGCCGCACATATGTGCAAAGTTCTATGTCGGAAACCGACCGACCAACCGGATCATAGGAATTATTAAAAATGAAGGTTGCAGCAAAGAAAATTTTCTTTTCAACGAAATCACCGTCAACTAGGCTGTACATTTGTGTAATTACAATAAATAGGTGGGAAAGTTCCGGAATAACTTCCGGTCAAGAGTCAAATTAATAAAATTACAATTAGGAATTAAAATGCCATAATAAACAGGCGGAGGGGTACGCATAAAACTCAAACAAAGTAGCATCATAATTACTGAGAAGATTGACATATTGTGCTATTGGAGGTTAGGAATGTAGAAATAACAAAAATAGACAGGATGTTTGGATAAAAAATCTAGTGGGACAATACGTCCAACCCTTGTCCCTGCCATGGCCATCATACACAGGTAATAATTCTCTTAATAGGGATTATCCCATTGCCTTTTCTTATCCAAACTTCCTGTTTATTCATGCTATTTTCAACTTTTTCTTAATCCCTCCACTATTTACACTACCATATTTTCATTTCCGAACTTCCTGTTTATTTTTTGTCATTTTATTATTTCTACATATTTAATCCCTGACTGCATAAACAATTATTCATCACATTCGTTATGATCCCACTGTACTGTACTTGGTTAATCAGTTATGGATTGTTTAAGAACAGTGACTCACTGTGTAGTTTTCGGCTCTAGAATTACGGAGAATATGGTATTCTTCACGGATAAAGCTCATTCAGCATCGACATCAAGAACTAGGATAAATGATATTTGTTACCCCGTTGTAACCAGTCTTACAGGAGGTGAATTGTGAGTCCGATTAACGTCTCTGATTGTAGGACTTGATGGCATTGGTTCCAATCACACTGCAGACATTGATTTTCTTGAAGGTGACTGATACGCCTTGCTGGAAAGTGATATCAAGCGCTCAGCATAGGTTCAACGCTGCCAATCATTCAAAATCATGATGGTATTTTAACCTTGGTGCGTCGGTGGCATAGCGGTTAGGACGCTCGCCGACCATGCACATGGTCCGGGGTTCGATCCCCGGGCGGCGCAATCTCTTACCTTACCTCGCTAAGCCAGAACTAAAAGCTAATGAAGAGGAAAGGTTAGGCATGAGACTAGCAACCCCATCCTGTAAAAATAAAAACACTGCTACAGAAACTTCAAGCCTGCAGCTTGAAGCCCTATGTTCCACTGGGGAACGTGAAGGAATAAAAAAGAAATTTTAACCTTGAATATTGACGTCAGGAATTTCTTTTATGAAAGACCTACTTGTGTTGAATACTAACCTTTTTGAACTGTTTGCTGAATAACCGTAGAATCCAGCATGCGCATTTCATCCTATTTGGCACTCTGGATGTACCTGCATTTCCCAGTGAGTGATGATGTTCCCACCGAGGCTCGAACCCAGTGCCCAATGTTTCAAACGCCAAAGCCTTATCCACTAGACGACTTGGACCACAAGAACCACCTCTTGTGCAATGGGTCATCATCGCTCACTGCGAAATGCCGGTGCATCCAGATGACGAGTATCAAATAGGACGAAATGCGCGTTATCCTGGATTCCACTGCTAGTTACCATCCACCAATTAAAATTCTAATTAAATGCCCAGGCATCGTTGAAGCATCTGCACAAGAAGCCGACATGTCAACCTGAGACCGAGCACTTCAGCCCAATCAATCGATGGGAAAATCTAAAATTCAAATGAATTAAATAATGTCTGCTGAACTTAATTGTACATAATTTTACTTTTAAAACTTATCAAATATAAGTAGGGTGGTTGGTTTTACCACCACACACACAAACTTTTACACTAAAATGCATCAATTGACAGTAAAATTATTTCACTCTAACACACGGAAGAACATGGGTAGTGGATAATACTCCAGCATAAGCTAAAAGTTAAAATGTGAAAATAAAACGGAGAGGAGAATATTCGATAAAATTAAAAGAAAACGTGTGAAATTTCCATTTAACAAAATGTCATTGAATGTTTGTGTATGTGTGTGTATGCGTATGTCATTACTACTGACTGAGTGGTTATGTCATCAGGACTCTGACTCCTAGTTTAGAAATAGGGAGTGAAGTGGTTGACCACTTCACTTATTTGGGAAGTACCATCAGCCCCAACGGGTTGATCTCTGACGAAATCTCAGCACAGATACAGAGGGCTAGTTTCGTATATGCCAGTTTACGCCGTCTCTGGCGTTGACGTGATTCCCGACTGGCTATCTACCAAATGGTGGGTGTACTGCTCAGCAGTCCGCCCTGTCCTCCTTTATGGCTAGCTGTGAGACCTGGCCATTGAGACCGGAAGACATGAAAGGGCTGGCTAGCTGTCTTTGATCATATGTGCCTGTGTTCTATCTCCCGTGTGAAATGGTATGATAGGGTGAGCAATACTGAGGTTAGACGTCAGTCAAGTGCTAGGTAGATGGGAGGGAAAATCAATCGATGAGGCTGTGAAGCTACCTCGACTGAGATGGTGATGACATATGTTGCTGCGCATCCCTAGTCATCGCCTTTCTCGACAACAGGCAAAATAGCTGATATAGGGTCAGGCTGGAAAAGAGCTAGCGGCGGTCGAACGAAAACATGGCACCAGTCAATGGAATCCACAATGTTTAGTTTAAGCAAGCGACGTAGGAAGGTGTAGACTCCCTGACTGGTTGGGGTCCTCGGGACGGTAAAAACCAATGCAAGCTGGAGACAATTGGTGACATGGCTCAAAATCGTTCTCAATGGCTGGTGCAGATGTATCCACTCCTCGTGACTTGTGATTTCCAATGAAACTATATTGTTCTTCGTTATTACTATACCTTTGTCTCATACCTCTGTTTACTGTCTCTATTTTGCATTTCTTCTACTTTCTTCTCTCGTTTTGTGTGCTACATGGAGTGGAGTGTGGCGACTCGAACTGCCGCATATCGGTGCAAAGTTCTATGTCGAAAACAGACAGACAGACAGGACTCTTTGAATGAAATCACTTAATGGATTAATATTGTTACCATTATTCCATCGGATTCCTACTGGAATGTAAAAAGGCTTCATCACCACATCTCCATTTCATCTAGTTCCCCGCAGTCTTTTCTTTTAACCGCCTCCATGATTGTCAATAAGGTTTTATTTCCCCCTCGCGAAATCTCCTTTATATCACTGATTGATGCCTATTGGCAGGAAGACCTAAACCTAAGATTTTCGTGCTTACTGACACTTGTCAGCAAAGTGTGTCTGCAATCTTGAAAGAACTCATGTCCCCTATGAAATGCGAATCCGCATCACCCAATACTGCGGTTAGAGGCGTTACCACTGAACAGTTCGAACTCGTGATTGACCTCCAGAATTTGTTCTTTTGTTCCAGGTAGTATTGAATTTCCTGTAGATTATTGATCTTGTTGGACTGAGATGGTCTGTCTCTGTTGACTTGTTGACGCTTAGTACGAGCGCTTCAATGATGTCTGAAGGCTAACAGGATATTATTTTGGATGCCGGTGACCAACTGGTAGTAGAATCTAGGGTGCTCCTTACGTCCTACTGGTGGATACCGCTGCTAGCCGGTCACCAATCAACCAGAATAGAATCTCTCCTATAGTCAATCTTTCCATCTTTGCTTCTTTTTTAACACTGATGTTGAAATTCGTATGATGACAATAGGGGAATCTCTCATTGTTGTATTACATCATTCTATCTGCTGATCTTTCCTGGTTGTCTCATATCTTGATGATTTCTACATCAAGAAGTTAAGACATTCTGGATTAACCCAACCCTTTCTCCTACGATTCACTAACTCTTGCATCCTGCCTATTATTCTCTACTGTTCCCCCTTAGTTTTTCCAGGGCTACTGAAGAAAGACTATACCTTATTACGCAGGATGTTAAAGGTTGTCAGCAGGGTAAGCAATATGCCACTTAACCAGCTTGTTAATATTCTGGTTGACAGGCACATGGACTCATGTGAAAAATGGGCTAAATCCATTTTATCTAACTCACACCACCCTCTTCATTCACAACTCTCCCCTTGTATCTCATCAGGCAGAACTAGAAACCTATATAAAAAACTATATGCTCGCACCAGCAAGTACAAAAACTCAACCATACCCTACTTAGCTCGTGTTCTGTATGATAAAGAAATCACTAGTCGTGACACCTGTAACTTATTAAATAGTCAGTAGAACAACTGGATCTCATCTTTCCAACTCATATCATTTATAGGTACAACGTTTTCTTTCTTTCTTTTCCTTTTTTATGTGCTGCTTTGTTTCTTTCTTCCTTACAAACTCTACTTGAAACATTCTTCTTCGTTCTTTCACACTCTGCATATCTCCACCTTTTTGTTACCGCTTACGCCAGTAAATATGCTAGTATCTACTTTTCTAACACCTTCAAACATTCTGTTCACTTTTGGCTTTGCTACCGATATGCTAATATGTTGTTGTCAAAACTAACTGAGATTACCCTTAAGCTATGTAGAATTTTTTTATTGTTAATGTACTAACTGGATGCAATAGTGTAGTGAAATGCTGAGAATTCCATTCTGTATCACAAGTACTGTTTTGGAATAAAGCAAATTAATATTATTATTATTATCGCTTCATATACAAACATGATTGTATAATTTCACATACTCCCTTTTTCTGACATTATGTTTGATCTGGGTTGGTATTTTTTTTCCTTCCTCGTATCAACAGGTGTCAATGAATTGTTTCCAAATCTATCAGAAAATATGGATCCATCAGTTCAATCGGCACGTTTGGCGTCTGAAGCTCGATTCCTACCAGATTATGATTTAAAAGCTTCAACAAATTTACAATATTTAAAAATATCCGCTGAACATTATCTGTTGGCTAGACGTTTAAGTATCCTGCATCAACGAGCTAATATACGTAAGATTTGCAATGAATGATGTTTAATATACCAGTGTATTATTTACATTTAGAATTCGGGCTTTTTTCCTCTTCTTTTATTGATTAGCTTTTCATGTATATCACGGTAGCCGGAAATGAACTCAACTTCCTTAGTTGGATAACTAGTGTTACCCATTTAGATCGTTGTACATACTTGAAGATCTACAGATGGAAATCCAACAGGTTGACAGAAGAAACAAAGAAAACAGGACTTCAGGTGAACGTAGAGAAGACAGCGGTGATAAATATATCTAACCAACACCACCACCAACAACAACAACGAACATCAATCACCAACAGCATTAGAAATGTTAAAATTTTTAATCTCTTTTGCTTACCCAGACAGCGGCATCGTTTCAACTACACGCAGGACTCCAGAGGTATTTAAGTACGGTGGAGACAGTTTACTGTCTGCGTTAACTAAGGTACTAGGCAGCGTCTGGGAATCAGAGGAAGTCCCGTTGGGTTGGTGTAAGTCATTGATTATCCTCATATACAAGAAGGGAGACAAGTCTTCCTGTGATAATCACAGGGGGATTAGCTTGACTAATATTGTATCTAAAGTTCTAGGCTCAATAATAATACGTAGACTAAGTGGTCTACGGGAGGAACAAATATGAGAGAACCAGTAAGGCTTTAGACCAGGAAGAGGGTGTATTAATCATATCTTCACCCTTCGACAGATTCCCGAACATAGGCATACTTACCGTTGGTGTACAACAATCGTTATATTTCTTGACCTGAAAGCGGCATTCAATTCTGTCGACCGAGAGGTACTATGGCGATGTTTGGCTGTGAAGGGAATGCCGAGAAAATACATCTCATTGATCATGGCACTCTACTCGAACTCATGCAGTCAACCAGGCGAGTTGTCATCTGAAGTGGTGACAACTAGTGGTGTCCGTCAGGGATGCCCACTATCACCATTTCTATTCAATTTCATCGTAGATGTACTAGTGGACTGAACCCTAACTGACTGACTTCAGCGACTCAGGGATTGGCTTGTTACCAGGGTATGAATAATCGCGTTGACTCAGAATATGCAGATGATATAGTCCTTCTAGGTGAGGACGCTGACAAAATTCAGAGTCTTCTGAACACCTTGAGCTGAAATCTGCGAATGTTTGGCATGCGATTCGCTCCCGCCAAATGTAAGATGATGTTACAGGACTGGACTACACTGACTCCTAGTTTAGAAATAGGGAGTGAAGTGGTAGAGCACGTTGACCGCTTCACTTATTTGGGAAGTTGCGTCAGCCAGTGCCAACGGGTTGATTGTTGACGAAATCTCAGCATGGATACAGAGGGCTAGTTTCGCATATGACCTAGCTCCTCTATTGCGAAACATATTATGGAGACAGGACATCAAAATTGACGTTTACACATCTTTTAAACCTATCTATAAAACGTGTTTGGGGCGTATCCTAAAGATTTTGGAAGCCGAGCAATTAAAAAGTTAAAACCACCTTCATGCTTTCAAAATCAATTCGACTTCACATTCAACCTTCCTTGGTTAAGTTCATTTTGTCTTTACGAGTTTGACCTCGGACTGATATCAGTTAGAGAACCATTGAAAACCAGGGAGTGCTGGACGGTTGTTTCATCCTACTACTTTGGGAATCATCGGCAGTACGCACCCACTGCCAGGGTTCGAACCCAGGACTTTCCGGTTACAAGGCCAGCGAACTCGTATACCATTCAATCACTGGGACCCGAATCAATCAATGACCAGCCCATGAATTCTAACTTCTACCAATTTGTGATTTAGCGCAACCACCAACCATCGGGTCCCAGTGGCTGAATAGTATACGAGCTTGCCTTGTAACTGGAAGGTCCTGGATTCGAATCCTGGTGGTGGGTGAGTACTGCCGATGATTCCCAAACTAAGATGAAACAGCTGTCGAGTCCTGAGTGCTGGTTTTCAATGGTTCTTTAACTGATATCAATCCGTGATCAACTTGGAAAAACCAAATCTAATCCTTACAAACCAACTACAGAAAATAACTTTATTTTGATACCAGGATAGATGTACTATTAATACCCCACTTCTTTGGTTTAGTGATCTTTATTGTTATTTTGACCTTCAATATGTCCTTTTAATTTGACCTAAATTTATTCTCTCAACTCTTAATTCTTTATTATTTTCATAGATATATTTTCGTATGATAAGTCCATGTATGATCAGATAGTTCAAAATGTATGTTTTTGATTGGACACTATTCATTAACTGGTGTAATGTGTCTAGTCCTGTCTTTGGTGCAGACTAAATTTGTATCCGTCATGCTTGTAATGTGGCCACCATTCTAGTTGCCTCGCCATTACGATTCACTGTGGATTTTTCGTATTAGGTGGTTGGAGGCAATCGGCAGAAAGCCTTGCCTGAACTAGGTTTCGTGCTAGTTGGGACTCATCAGAGAGGCACATCTGTAACCTTTAAAGGAACTCATGTCCCTTCTGAGATGTAATCAGAGACGTTACCCCCCACTGAGTTATTCGGGCTGTCTCGTGATTGACTTCCTGACCTCAGAAGGGACATGAATTCCTTCGAGCCTGCAGATACACCTTGCTGATGATTTGATAACTAGCATGAAACCTAGGTCAGGCAAGGCTTCCTGCCAATTGCCTCCAACCATCTAATGTTTGGAATGTGTTGCTCAAATACACATTACACGATTCAGATAAATTACATCTTCTTACTGCTTTGTCTAAATTCATAAAGGGAACCCTAATTGTTTCATATATCACTTATTGATGTTAATGTCATCATCATCGGCTCATGGTGTTCTTAGACACCGTTAGAATGCTTAACATTATAGTGGGCTGTTGTTTTGTTATTAGAATACTAAAAAGGAATCATGAATGAGTGCACAGGAGTAAGTATTCACTCTGTAAATGAACTGTTTACCTGGTGGATGGTGACTAACAGTGGAGTTCAGGATAACGCACATTTCGTCCTATTTAGGACTCGTCATTTAACTCTATGTACCTGCATTCTCCAATGAGTAAGTGATGATGTTCCCACGAGGCTTGAACCCAGTGCCCATAGTTTCAAACGCCAAAGCGTTATCCACTAGACCACTTGAGCCACGGGAGCCACCTCTTTTGCAACGGGTCATGCAGGTACATCCAGTTAACTGACGAGTCCCAAATAGGACGAAATGTGCGTTATCCTGGATTCCACTGCTAGTCACCATGCACCAATTAATATTCTAACTACATGCCCAGCAGACATCGTCGAAGCATCTACACAAGAAGTCGACATGTCAACCTGAGACCGAGGACTTCAGCCCAATCAATCGATGGGAAAATCTAAAATTCAATTTATTTATTTGATTTTATTTTTTTTAATTATTTTTTATTACAGCTTGATGCCACACCGTATTTTCAGTACAAGTATGGAATTTTTAGCATGGATATCGGTAGCCCGAAATTCGCAGGCCGACTATAGATATCAGGTGTGCGTCGACATGGGATCGAACCCCGGACCATGTGCATGGTCGGCGAGAGTCCTAACCACTGTGCCACCGACGCACATCATTATTTGTTTGCCTAGAATTGATTTTAATTGCCTCAAATTGCCTTCATCTCCTTGTTTTGTTCTGTTTCTGTTTTTTCCCCTTCTTCTACTGCAGCTGGTGATGTCACAGCTAAATATTCTATGAATCTATCTGAGAAATTCAATGAAACGAAATCATTTAATAATATAGCTGGATTAATTGGTCCAATCACTTATGATTGTCATGATATGTTTCAAAATGCCTGGAATCGTCATATCGATCGCTTGCAAAAATCATCGTTAGCTGCAGCATATGCTGCTACACTGGAAGATAATCATCAACTTGGTGGAGGCCTCAGCGGCGGTGGCGTTGGGAGTCCAAATGTTTGCGCATCTGTTACACCGACTACAGATGTTATCGCTCCTGGAAATCATATACAGAATGATGATATTAATCCGGATAGTACGACGAATACAACGCATATTTCTAATGTTACTTCGACTACAAGTAGTACTAGTACTTCTATGAATACTCCAATGTCTACGATTAATACAACTGGTATATCAAAAACACCGTCTATCGTTAGGCAATCATCAAACACTCCACTCAGTGATGCTAGTAGTAATAATAATAATATTAATAACAATAATAATAATAACCCTAATGGTATGCTTAATAGTACTTATAGTAGTACTAATAGTAGTAGTAATAATAACAATAATAATAATAATATTACTAGTAGTAGTAGTAATCTTAAATCTGCATCTAAACATTATGTCTCTGATGAAGACTTAAATTCTGCGAAACCAGAAGAACTGCAAGCATTTGTAACACCGTCTAGTTTACCTTCAAATATTTCACTATCTAGTCGTCATGATGGAATTGCACATGTGTAGGGTGTGAGTGAGTGAGTGGGTGAGTGCATCCTCTTGTTTATTCATGTACTGCCCGTCTACACTCAGTTATGCAACACAATGTACAACATAACCAATCGTATTTCATCACTCACTCACTCATTTGTTTTGTTTTATTTGATTTTACTTTTTTTATTGAGAATCCTGTTCTATACTTACTACTACCAGCACCCGTATAGTGTTCCCTCTCAATTATTGATTAATTAGTGGTGCTGTGAATGTTGGAATGTTGTTTGAGACAAGGTTTGGTGTTTTATTTTGCCTTTTTGTGGGCCGAGTTTGATTGATAGTTAGATAGATGTATGTTTTTATTTGTGATTTTGTTATATACTACTAATACTACTACTATTATTCTTATCAGTATTGTTGTTACTCTTCAAATTAGATTCTTCTGTGAGTGTGAGTATTTTATAGTCAACACTAACTATACTGATCATGCATTCCATAAATACTGAAGAGGCACACTAAATATTATACTATCGCCTGTCTTTTTCCTTTTCTTTCTTTTTTTTGTTGTTGTTATTGTTGTTGAGTTATTCTATTTTCTGATGCTGCTGCTGCCTCCGCTAGATGGGGTGGTTACTTTCTCAAAGTTATGCAATTATCAGGGGGGGTGGGGTGGGTGGGATGGAGAAACTATTACTCTCTGTACACTGAACTTATATATACATATATGTGTCTCTAATTGCACTTATTGCCTATCTATAGATGTATATACATACATATATAAATATATGTTATCGATTTCATCTTCTAGAAATACTCTTCTCTTATCAACTTCTACTCATTCTAGACGGTTCTTCTTTCATTACAATATCATTATTATTATTATATTAGATAATTGTGGCTGCCCTCTCTCAATTCAGCTTTCTTTTGGAGTAGATATATGTGTGCATTTTGTGGGAATACATACACATAGATATGTACCTTTGTTTCTGTTTCATTTTGCATTCTTATCCTTTGTCTTGTAGCTGTTATTGGCAGATGTCTTATTATTAGTATTCAATATCTTAGGCATTTTGAGAGCTATTCACATGGATTCTATGTTTACTATTATATGTATCACAGTTGAATCTTTCAGTTCTATTTGTTGTCTGTAGTACTTCTTGCCAAAGAGAGAGAGTTTGTGTGTTTGGGTGTTGATTTATTGTGTTTTTTATTTTATTCCTTTACGATCCAGTGGAACATTGGGTGGCTTCAAGCTAGAAGCTTGAACTTTCTGTAGCAGTGGTTGGTTGCTAGCCTCACTTGCCCCACCCCAAACCTTCCCTCTTTAGCAGCCTTATTACTGGCTTAGAGAGGTAAAGGAATGAGTGCGTGGGTTGCTCGGAGGTCGAACCCCGAACCACCTGCTTGGTTGGCGAGCATTCTACTGCTATGCCACTGATGCACTATGTATGTATTCTTTACTTACCTACTTTGCCTACCTATCTATCTATCTACCTATCTTTCTATCCTACCTACTCTACTTATCCTATTCTATTCCATTCTATCCTATTTATCTATGTATACAGCATATATATATATAAAATTTTGTATATACATATATAGTTCTTTTAGACTGTTCGATGGTTTCCCGTTATTATTTAATATTGCAATTTATACTTAAACTTATTTTCTTCTTTCTGACGTCTGGGTTGTTAGTTCGTTGGTTGGTTGTCTTTTTTTCAAAATTTGTTTGTGTACATCAGAATACGACGGAAACAGGTCAACAGGGTCATGCGTGTGTGTGTAGGCTGTGCTATGCGGGGGGGGGAGGCTTTTACCTAACTTTTATTCTTTTTCCTTCGCCTACACACAAATCGTCTCTCACTCTCCCCCTCTCCCATTTTATATTGAATGAATGAATGAGGATTCTTCAATGAATTAATTAATGAGATCACATGAAGGGGTGACTAGAAGCAATTAATTCTCCGAGTACATATATATACATAAAAATGTGCCCAAAATATTAATTAATAAAAAACAATTGAAGAGATTTCCAATCTTAATTACTTCATGGTGTTGTAATTCTATATTATTGATGAAGTTATTTTCAAATCTTATATAAGAATTTCTCTTTCCAGCCTTATTATTATTATCATTATATACTTGTACATTTTGACAATATATATATATGTAATTAGTAATAACAAGTATTGCCATTATTATTATTATTACTATTCCCTTGGGTTCCCGACCGAGGGACACATAGGGCCTCAACAGAACATCTCCATTTCACCCTGTTCACTACACTGCTCTTTTAGAGGCTGACAGTATTGACGTTCGCGGATTGTACGGAGTATACTAACGCAAGATCTAATACCCACAACTTCTATAGTATTCGTTCCGCGTAGACCAAAGGCAAAGCAAAAGAACAGAATTGATCGTCCAAATTACGAGATATATTTCGGGACCAAATCAGAGTGCGAGATGATTGCTTAGCTGGCTAGTGATCGTGCATGAACGTGACACGACGGAGTACCAAATGGTGACCGGAAGCCTTCAGCTAAACAAGTTGACTTAAACAGTGAGTGTCAGCATCCAATGTTCAGTGATGATTAATGTGGTCAATAATTTTGGGGAATTATTTACCGCCACAGCTCAACCCCCCTTGTGGGGTTGTGAGGACCCTAAGACAGAACCAGCCGGAAGCAAAAAAAAACAAACTCGACGGTTCCCCATCGGTAAAAAACACTCTTCCGAGCGGTTTGGTTGAGTGCCTACTTGTCGTCTACCTATGCTAATAGGGTGTCTGTACATCGCTTCGTTGAATTGTTGTCCGTTGGATCTCGTGCTTCGTTTGCTTCTTGGCCAGTGCCCGTCGCACCTGGAAAAGAAAACAAGAATGCTAGGAACATTGTTGAGGAAGATGTACCAAAAATAACGTTTGAAAAATGATTTGCATCTACCATACAGTAAAGTAATGCGAAAATTAGAACATCGAAAAAAGTATATATCTAATTTTTTTAGTGGATGTAACATGTACGGTTATAGAAAAGTTTTTTACTTGTGTTGCGGGATGCAATATAAAAGAAATTGATGTGTCTGAAAGAAAAAAATAAATAAATACCACAAATGAATAAGAGTTGGGTGAATCGCATCACTTAGTTATGTGATATAAGTGTGAAGATATTCTGGGAATCTCACGTTTCGTTCAGAACGCGTTTTCTTCGAGGGCTCGACAGAAGGTTCGGCGGCTTTCGCCGTGCTAGTGATTTCTTCGAGGACTAAAGGATATTCGGTTACTTGTGGATTATTTGGAACGCTCAGCTCTAGGCTAATAGGATTACCTTCTAAGTAGGCCGGTTTCAGGCGGTCGATGCTGACGGTGTCTTCACGGCCTTTTTTGTCTAAGGCAAAGAATTTATCCATACGTTTAATGACTTTATATGGTCCGTCGTATGGGGGTTCCAGAGGGTGACGCACAGGGTCACGACGATCAAATACATGTGAAGAAGTTTTCAAACACGGGTGAACAAAGACATCTATGGACTGTGGTCGAAGGGGAGCAGGTTTAACTGAAAGCATTGCGTTTGTAAGCCTGCTGACGTATGAGGCGTGATCCACCGCTGGGAGGAAAGTAGAGGGAGAAACAAACTCACCTGGCAGTCGTAGTGTTGTGCCATATACTAGCTCGGTGGTAGTACAACCAGGATCAGTTTTCAAGGCGTTTCGAATCCCTAGGAGAACTAACGGTAGTGATTCAGTCCAATGGGTATTGTTTACGGCTGATAAACCAGCTTTCAACTGTCTGTGTAGACCCTCTACCATACCATTAGCTTGAGGATGGTAGGCTGTTGTTGTAAAACGCATGCAACCTATGATTTTAGTCAGGGCGAAGAATAAGCTGCTTTCGAATTGCCGCCCGTGATCAGTTGTTATGGAGGATGGGCATCCAAAGTTTGCGATCCATCTTTCGGCTAAGACGCGTGCGATTGTTTCAGCCGATGCATCCTTGAGGGGTACTGCTTCAGGCCATCGTGTGAAACGGTCAATGCAGGTTAAGATATGGGTATATCCATGAGATTCTGGAAGGGGTCTAACCAAATCTATATGGACGTGTTTGAAACGAGCGTCAGGGATAAGAAAGGTGCCAAGAGGGCTTTTGGTGTGTCTTACTACCTTGCACTTTTGACAAGCTAAGCACGTGTGTGCCCATTCCCTTACATCTTTATTAATACCAGGCCAAGAGAACCGACTAGTTACGACCTTGACGGTAGTTCGAATACCTGGGTGGGATAAGCCATGCAACGTATTGAAGACGTTACGGCGATAGCTTTTAAGCACGATGAGGCGAGGAGTACTCGTGGAAATGTCACATAGAATAGTGTCTCTTCCCATACTTAAGGGTTTCTCGGCTAATTGCAGAGTTGTTTTCGACAACTCATGTTGAAGCTCAGTATCTTCTTTTTGAAGACGAGCCAGTTTTACAAGGTCTATGCCGTCTATTTGGGTGAGGGAACAAACGCGCGACAAGGCATCTGCCACAGTGTTGTTCACTCCGGATACCTAGCGAATATCCGATGTAAACTGTGAAACGTAGTCCAGTTGTCGTGATTCCCTAGGTGAATACTTATCTGAGGTTGAGTTCAGAGAGTACGTCAGAGGTTTGTGGTCAGTGAATATTATGTCGAAAATGACGTATAGCATAGTAAATAGCCAGAAGTTCTCTGCCAAATGTGCTGTACTTCGCTTCTGCTAATTGAAGGCGCCTCGAGAAAAAGGCGAGTGATTACCACTCTCTGTTAACTAGTTATTGCAGAACTGCGCCGATTGCAGTGTCTGATACATCAACCGAGATACTTATCGGGCTGGCTCGCGACTGACCTCTTCTATGACTGCAGGGGGTATTTTGATTGGACACTAGTAACTAGTGCAACGTGTCTAGTCCTCTCTTCGGTGCAGACTGAATTCTATCAGTCAGGTTTGTAATGTGGCAACCATTCTAGGTAGCTCACCATCACCTTGCAGATACGCCTTGCTGACGAGTGCCAACTAGCCCGAAACCTAGGTGGTGCAAGGCTTCTTGTGGCCGATTGCCTCCAACTATCCAATATCATCAAATCAATGCGCAGCGTGATGGTGAGCTATCTAGAATGGTGGCCACATTACAAACCTGACTGATAGAATTCAGTCTGCACCGGAGAGAGGACTAGACACGTCGCATTAGTTACTGACTAGTGTCCAATCAAAATGAACTGAACTGTTAGTGTAATTATTTTTATCGATGATGTCTTAGACTGTAGGCGTTTGTATTCGATTGGGAATGAAAATAAATTGAAAAGTTATGGAACATTGGCTAGTGACTGACACGAGACTGATTGGGGTAAAATGCTCATAATAAAACAGTAGAAGACGAAAGACTTGGAGACACATGGAGAGTAATAGAAGAGAGAAGGATGGTGAATCAAAGGAATAACCAGTGCATTGACCAGCAACAAAAGCAGGACTTGAATACAAGCTACAATACACTGAAAAAAAGAGTAAAGAAGAGAGCCAGGGAAGACAAAAGAAAATATTATGAAGCTATGGCAAGTGAAGCAGAACAAGCTGCAGGCCAAGGAAACCTCGCAACACTCTACCAAACAACTAGGCACCTATCGGGGAAAAGTTCGACACAAATTAACCCAGTGAAAGATGACAGTGGAAAGTCAATCACCAAAGAAGTGAAGCAGAAGGAACATTGGGCTGAACACTTCAAAAGACTTCTAAATCGACCGCCACCTACAACGCGCCCAACAATACCAACAACGGAAGCAGAATTATCAGTGAACATCCACCCTCCGACGAGAACAGAATTCCTGAAGGCCATAAAATTTCCAAAAGCTGGAAAAGCAGTAGGACCAGACGGAATCCCAGCAGAGGTATTGAAAATGGACCCAGAGACATCAGCAGACTTGGTGACACCACGACTGGAGAAGGTGTGGAAAGAGGGCAAGGTACTTGCGGATTGTAAGTGAGGCTACTTATTCAAACCGCCAAAGAGAGGAGACTTTAGTCAATGCAAGAACTGGCGCGGAAATATGCTCCTGTACATCACAAGCAAAATACTAAGCCGCATCATCCTGGAGAGAACCAAACATGCGCTGGATGAAAAACGTCGACCAAAACAGGCTAGATTCATGAGGAACAAGTCATGCATCGATGAAATCGCAACACTATGGATCATCACTGAACAAAGCTTGGAATGGCATTCACTTCTGTATCTTGACTTCATTGACTTCGTAACGGCCTCCGACAGCGTCGATAGAGAGGTGATTTGGCAACTACTTCGCTACTACCAAGGGGGTCGCCAACAATTATACACCTCATCCAACAGTTGTACGACAATGCTGCATGCCAAGTGATCCACAACGGGAAGCTCACGGCATCCTTCGAAGTGAAGACGGGAGTAAGACAAGGCTGGCTGGCTGCCTACTATCTCCAATAATTTTCCTGATTGCGGGCGGTAGACTGGATAATGCGACAGACAGCGGGCAGTGAGGAAACAGGCATAAAATGGATCCACACAAAAAGAAATTGGAGGATCTGCATTTCACCGATGATATATATCTGATTTCCCACAAACTGGAAGATATGCAAGTGAAAAGCAACAAGTTGGCAGAAGAAGCATCCAGCAAAGATAGGAAGGATTTCAGGTGAACATAGAGAAAACAGAGGTGATGAAGATTCGTGGCCAACGACAACAGCAACAGTAACACACAACAATCAGCATAAATGGGAGAAATCTGAAAGAAGCAACCTCCTTTATCTACCTATCTACCTGGGAAGCATCCTTCCAACTACAGGCGGAACTGACGATGATATCAAAGCAGGGATCGGGAAAGCAAGGCAAGCTATCATTTCTCTCAAGTCTGTGTGGAGGTCAACAGCACTCAGCATAAAACGTAAGATCCAGATTTTCAACTCCAATGTGAAGTCAGTGCTACTCATTATACGGATCAGAGACTCGGCGTCGCGTCACGAAGGCCACTTAGAACATACTACAGACATATATTAGCAACTGTGTTCCCTCAATACTATTCAAGATCAGATGGCCGACCAGGAAAGATCAGCAACAGGTGGGGATCTCTGGGAGCGAACC